GAGGTAGAGAGTCTCTTTCGACTCAACTCCCCTGCAGTCTGTGAGGTTAATTGCTTTCTTCGGTGGGTGTCTTTAGATTACCTATCTTTCTAGTAGGATCCAAACACAGCTCCAGCAGAGCGTTGCATGTGTCTGGTGTTTCAGAACCAGAACATAACGCAGGAACAGTAAGGTGAGAGGATGAGCATGAGCTTTGCTGACTTTCACAGATGAAGTCTAGTCAACCACCTGGTAGGAACTTCAAAACCCATCCAAGCCATGACATAGACCTAACTTTAAGTGTTTAGAGTAAAATAAAATGCATGAATCCAGACTCACTTGACATGTGGCATGCAGCTGGTTTCCATAGCACCCATCCTTCAACACCCCCCCCCCCCGGAGGTGAAGTCGTTTTGGGTTATAAGGCACTCCGCTTGGACAACCTCACAGCTCCAAAGTCAACCTCAGGGCAGAGGCTGTGAGGTGAACAATATCAACATGCATGAACATGTTGCTCAACTTAGTCACCAAGCATGCACGCATGCACACACACACGCACACAGGCACGCACGCACGCACACACACACACACACACGCACACACACACACACACTGTTGATTATAAGGAGAATCGGAGTCAAAATAAGTTCCCCTTCTAAAATTTCACAACCTGTGTGCAACATTTCTTCCACGTGCAGCCTAAGTCAGAGACACTATACCCTTCCTTGTGTCTCTGCATGTAGGAACACAGCATTTAGGCTTCAAGGGGCCCCGTAAAGTCACCCACATGGTCCACACTGCTGCAGACACTTAGCAAATCATCCACAGGAAGTCGGTTACAAACTGCACATGTGGAAGTGTCTCAGATGACATTTAGCAAGGAAACTCACAGGGGTTGGACATGAAGTTCTTCTGGGTTAATTTTTACATTTGGGTCTTCGATTTGATGTTTCTGTACATTTCTGTCCTGCGGTCTTCTGCAGTAAGATGTTGACTGCTCATAACAACCAGCGAAATCTGTAGTTGAAGAAATGCCAAAAATAGCCTCATTTTGGAGTAAAACTAAAGGTGGAAGAAATTAGATGTTTTTTTGCGAATCCTTTGATGTTTTTGGGGTCAAAATAAAACAAAATATTGAATATTTTTCCAGTTTTCCTTTGCGACAGGGTTTTCAAATAACATTCCCAAAATAAAGGTTTACTATAGTACAAATAAATATATAAAGCCCCATATGAATATATGGGTGAATGGGAAAAACATATTTAATGGTGCTAAAAGAGGTTTAAATAGCTTTTGTCAAGATTTGTAAATTTTATTGTGCATTTCAATAATTTCAAGATGAACCCCCAAATTAATTATTTGTACTGCTATTTTATACTATGGTAATAATAAATACTGCAACTTTAATATAAACATTTATAATAATAATAATAATAATAATAATAATAATACATTTTATTTAAAAGCGCCTTTCAGAACACCCAAGGTCACTTGACAGAAAATACTTAATAAAACCCAAACAAGAAAAAACAAAGAGAGAAAAGGTTCAATAAAATCAGAGGTTGTAGGCATATTTAAACATGTGTGTTTTGAGTTTTGTTTTGAAAAGGGTAAAACTGTCGATGTTCCTGATGTCTGGGGGAAGTGAGTTCCAGAGACGAGGAGCAGAGCGGCTGAAAGCTCTGCTCCCCATGGTAGCGAGACGGGCAGAAGAAACCGCAAGATGGATGGAAGAAGAAGATCTGAGAGAACGGGATGGGGTGTGAATACTTATAAGGTCTGAGATATATGGAGGAGAGAGGTTGTGGATAGCTTTGAAGGTATGGAGGAGAATTTTGAAGATGGACCTGAATTTAACTGGGAGCCAGTGAAGCTGTTGGAGAACCGGGGTGATGTGGTGAAAGGAAGGGGTTCTGGTGATAATACGGGCTGCTGAATTCTGGACCAGTTGCAGTTTATGAAGGAGTTTTTTGGGGAGTTGGAGGAGTTTAAAAAGATGTGCAAGTAACCACCGACAGGCCCAGCCATCAGTCAGATTCCCTGCTGAAGGTTGGGTGGAGGATGTTGCGGATTGATTGGGTCATCGATAAAGCTGCAGATATCTTTGGTTCCACCCCCACCCCCCCACCCCCCCCCCCCCACACACACACACCTCAGTTCAACAGATGAGTGGTTGCATGTCATGTTTGTGGTGATGAAACCGTTCATTTCCTGTGAATGCCTTCATTCAGAGCCAGTTAACAGTCTGCTCCGCAGATGTTCGTGTCTCTTATCAAGACTTCAATGTTGAACAAAAAGAATCACTGGTTTTGGTCCAGAGATGATTAGCTTTCTTTGGCCGCTGATCTGATGATTTTTTTTTGTATGTTTATCTTCTTGAATTCTTAATAAATCTGTATTAGATGCAGTAATCAGATCAAATAAGGAGGAAACATATAAAAAAATAAAGAAAGGAATACAATTATTCCTACATTTGCTGCACTTGTGTGTGTTGCAGTGAGATCATGAGGAAGCAGTGCCATCTAGAGAGAGTATGGCACAAGTTTCTTTTTGTTTTGTCACTTAATACCTTGATTTCCTGACAGAAAAGCAATCCAATCCTCTGATCTGATTTTAATCAACTGCATTTTATGGTCTTCATAATTAAGATTTTAATTCCAGCACCCCTAAAACATCCTTTTTGTGTAAACTTTAAGTAAATTTGAGAATTAAACAGGATTATCCCAATAAATCTGTCTAGAAATGTACAAGATGCATGATCAAACGATGATTCTGCGGTGTCTGAAGACAGAAACAGTATTCATAAAATCCTGTTCATTGGAGAATGAGATGAAAACAACCAAAATTATTTGTTAAAGGGGAACATTTGACCTCAAAAGATGTGAAACGACACTAAATTGCCCAAATAACACTAAAAATCCCATGAAAAATTTGTAAAATGGGTTAGGGTAAAGAATATCTTTAAATTAGCTGTGGAAGCACAAAGAAGCAATTCATGTGCACAAATACATAACATATAAAGAGCTCTGAAATAAAACAGAGAGAAGAATGATGCAAAAAAAAAGAGAAAAAGGAGGAAAAGTCCACCCAAAATAAGAGTAAAAGGCAACTCAATTATTAAAAATCCGTTTAAAGACACCTGAAATCTTTGTGCAAACTCTAAAAACACAGTGACCAAAAAAAAGGTGAAAAAAAAACAATTAATGTGACAAAAATAAGCAAACAGAAAAAATTCCGTCATAGAAAGTTTACTTAAAAAGTTTGACTTATTTTGCCATTTCCAAGATCTGATCTACTTTATTTTGAAGGAGTTACAGGTGCCAGTAAATTAAAAGTCCATTTTAAGTAAGTGAAATTATTCAGATTAGTATAATTAAATTCCTTGGTGTATCTGTGAGGCTGCTTTGCATTTTTGTGGGACCGTTAAACATTTTTATCGCATGCACTTACCTGCCTGAAGTGTACCTCTTCACTTCCCACTTCACTGCTTATGGGCAGCTTTTACAACCATCTCTCTGTTCATGCAGCAGAAATACATCTTCAGCCCAGTAAATGGATCATCCTGGGAGGATACTACTGCAGGCACAGGGTTTGGGGTGGGGGTACGGGTGGTAGTGGTGGTGGTGGGTGGGTGGGGTGAGGGTGGGGGTGGGGGGGGTCCACTGCCCAATAGTTTTGTGCATGTTTTTGTTGAAACAGCGATGGGCAAATCAAACTGTTTAAAGAAACAATAACATTTAAAACAGCAACTGAAATAACAGTTTGAACTTTTGTCTTTTTTCTGAAATCTTTGTTTCTGAGATTTTATGTTTATATGTCCTAATGTTCAAAAAACGTTGGAGCAGTGCTTTACTAGCCTAGTGAACTAGACCAAATTCTTGCTTTGCAAAGTTTGGTCTAGGCACGCTCCATTGGCACCTCCGCAGCTCCTACCAGGACTCTGGCTAGCCAACCACAGCTCTCTAGAGGGGTTTCAAACACATAAAGAGCTGTGATTGGTCCATAATGGTGGGCCAATCATAGTGCTCTATCTGCTTAGTGAACAAATCACAGAGCTTTATCCGCTTTGTGGGCCAATCAGGGCACTCTACATGCCTGGTGGGTGGGATGATGCAACAGAGTGAAACAAGAGTAATGGGCTCGACACACGGGAGGCGACAAACGACCGCGATCAGCGAAATTTGTCGCTGTCGCTTTTATTACCTGTCACACGGGAGGCGATCCGCGGCAGCGGCCAGCGGCAAAGCCGTCTACGCATTCTGTTCCGTGGCGAAATCGAAACTTCCGTTGTTTTGTTTGGCTGTGTCAGGTTGGAGGGAATTAAGGTTATTTAAGCGGTTCAGAGTTAATAAAGCGGTAGATATGATGTTTCACAAGGTGCTGCTAGAGTTATGTGAAATCTTACTTCTGATTTTACTTTATAAAATATAATAATAATCAACTTCTCCTCCATGTTTGCTCGGAGGTGTACGGAGCATCCTGCCCGCTCATTGGTCAGTGAATGAAACCTCCGTTGATTGGTCCTCGTCCGAGCGACAGCGATGAAAAGTTGAAAATGTTTCAACTTTCTGGGATCGCGTCGCTGGGTCGTCCGTGCACGACACGTGCACGAGTGCAAACTTTCACATGCACGTTTTTCGCGTTTCGCTTAGTAGGAGAGAGACCTGCGATTATCGCTTTGTCGCGCATGTCTCATTGAAAATGAATGGAGGAGAGGCGATTTCGCCTCCCGTGTGTCGAGCCCATTAGTCACATTCATTGTCAAGTAGAATGCGGAGATCATTTGAAAGACAACGGTAGAACCCGCCCCACAACCGAGAGCCGTCAATGGGGCGTGGCCAGACTAAATAATACATTTATTTAGTCTGGCTTGCCAGGCTAATGCTTTACACAACTACAAGCTAAACTCTCTCACGGTTACCACAGGAACCAATTTGGGGTGCCCCCAAAAATGTTCCTTTATAAATATTTTCTGTGGGCAACTCTGCAAGCAGGAGTGAAGGAAAGGCAGAGACGTGAACTTGTTTCACTTAGATAATATTTATTTCTTCTTTCCTAAGATTCACACGGACAAACAGATGTTTGAAAAGCCAGTGCAGCCGTTTGCAGAGTATACGATTTGAAACTGCACCGTGTTTATTCAGCTTTAGTCCACCGAGTACTAAACTCATGTTTATCAGGAAAAACCTCACTTCTCACGAAACCAGGGTCCGTTTCTCTGCTCAAGTGCTCTTGACCTCCCCAAAAGGTGAAATGAAACAAGAACACTGAAGATGAGTCGACTCGCCGTTTCAGACGCACAACCAGAAGAACATCAGGCAGCCGAGACACATCAGAAGAAGCAGGTGCGAGGATACTGCTACCAGAAGCGGAAGAGAAAGAGAGAAAAGGGTCGTACAGGTGCGGAGAAGAGGAAAGCTTTCAGCAAGACATGCGGAAGGACTACATTTATATATAAATATATGTATATATATATAAAACACTCAAAGCGGCGACAGTCTTCAAGCAGAAAGACAGAAAGATAGAAAAGTCAGATCAAGCACGAAGAGGATTACGAAGCGAAGCGAGGTTGGCATGCTTGCAGAGCACAGAGAAACGTTACAGGAAGCCCAAGACACAGAGATTACATGTAAAGGCTAGAGCGACAGAGCACTAATCTACACTCTAAGCTATATAGGACACGTAAGCTAATTACAGGAGCTACACATACTGTATACATATATGCACGTGGATATATAGGAGACTGAACATCAAACAAGCTGGATAGTGCATGCACATGCAAGGGTCTAGCAGCAGCAGCAGCAACGGCAGCGAGAAGAAACAGTGTCTGGCTTTTCTGAGATCGACCACCAAAGCGAGGCTCCTGATGTCCTCTGCATCACAGTGTGCACGTAAGTTTGTAACGGAAGAACGAACACAAGTGGTGCCCAGAAAAGATGAGTCGCTTGCTTTACAATATCTACAATCAGCAGGAAAATGAAATGCTTTCATTTGCATCAGACCCTTGTTTCCTGAGACATTCAGATCAGAGAGCTTGAATGGACAACTGAGATCTTTTCAAGTGTTTCTGTGGAAAGATTATGAATAATTAATGTCCTGCTTGTAGTAGACAGCGCTCTATAAAACTGTAGTTTGGAGAAATAGGCATAGGATATGACCAAGCTAGCAAGCCAAGGGTTCATCTGAGTAATTGAAGATTTAAAACAACTCTGATCTTTAAAAAATTCCTGGCAGTTCAGGCAAATTATGATGTGGAAGCTTTTATGTCAATGTCAAATTGAGTTTTAGTCAAGTATCCTGACAGAAATATTAAGATAATCCAGCTGAAAGGACCTCAGCTGAACGGGAGGCTGTCTAGGAAGCTATCTACAAACCACGTAGTATTAATTGTTCATAACGTCTCCACAGACTCCCACCTGAACTATAGTTTAAAAGTACTTTTTAGCTGATCGGATTTTCTTTTACATCAACTTATTAGACGTTGCACGTTGTTAGATCATTTACCCTAAAGTGCACAACCTCCCGATTCTGGAGGAAAACTGGACAATACTGAAAATGTTTTCTTTGTTACTAAGGCAACACAGTTACAAACACTAAGGTACACGTTGGCACATACTGTCAAGTATCACTTGTGCACAAAAAATCACAGAGCTTCAGAGTCAAAAATGGCTTTGCACATTGATTCAAAATCCAAACATTCGAGCCTCCGACTGAGACTCTTCGGCATTTCCAGGTGAAATCTGTCCGATCGTTTTAAAACCAGTCCCTGAAACGAGTTTTCTTTGAGATAGCTAGAAGAGTCACAAAGTATCTGACATACATACACACACACACACATGGGGGAAGAAAAATGCCTTTTAGGCTCAACAAGAAGAAAATACAGAGCATCTATATCAGAGAAAATAGGAATAAATTTACCTCACAAATAGTCTCTGGTTATATGTCTTATATACACATATGTATACACAAAGATAAGTACTTAGGACATCTGGAAATAGTATTTACAATCTATGATCAAAAGTGATTGTACACTGACCGACCGTGTTGAGGGAATTGTGCTTTTCTACCTAATGAAAAATGCTACAGATCTTCTGCTTAAACCCCGTCTACGATAAGCATCTTTTATTTATTTATTTATTTTTTGCAAACGTATGTGTGCTTCTTCTGGAGACTTGATTATCTTTGACTAACTGGTTTGTATTTTGCAGGATATGCAAGTTGGACCCTTACCTAAATATTGCTTTGAACGAGAACAGAAGGAATCTCAGTTGCTGCTCCTTCCAATAATAATTTAGTGCAAGTGTTTTCTGATATACAGCAGATGCAACTTTAATAAAGTACCTACACCTACACAAAAACAGCATTACGGCCCTGCTTAAAGTCATTTTTTATTATAACAAGAGCACAACCTAAGGTAAGATCATTCTGAAGGTTTCTAGTTTTGCTGATTAGGTGGTAAATGATTTATTTGGGGTGATGAATAGCTAACACGACCCCAAGCTGCAGGGGACAATTAAAAACTGTCGGAAAAAGACTAGAAATTACAAATGTGCAACTATACGAATGATTTTGTCTTGTAATCTTGTTTTTAATGTGCTTCACTTTAATAAAGTGCAACCTGCAAACAGGTTTGGCAGAATAATCAAGCACAAGCCACCTTTTTAATGTGTCAAGGCATGCACTTTCAAAAACGTCCATATTTAGTTGTTAGCTGAACGAAGCATTTGCACGTTGCACAAGTTTAGACAATTTCAGGAAAAAGCTCCGACTGCGACATTATTAGTGATGATGTCACCTTTTGCAATTAACTGAACTCCCAACACTTCCTATGTGCTTCAGCATTTTGGTCATTATTATTTAAAATGGCAGTTAGGGTTCTACGTTCCAGTACAGCATTCTTCTGCATGAACAATATTGCACACACTGGTGTCCCAATAGCAATACGTAAATGTCTGCAAACCACCACCAGTCAGCCTGTTGAATTTATCCTGAACCTCTGCGTGGTTTAAAAAATCTTTGCCACTTCCTTTATTTTTAATTGTGCCCGCTTTTTCCACCAGACAGCCGCATAACTGTTAAGAAACAACCTTTTCCACACAAGGTCTGCAGTCTGATTTGGCAAGCCAGGTTCTCTGATTTTGACAGGACACTCTAGTTAACCAGCAACATATTTAAATCTGGTAAAAGTCCATTTTTATACCAATACCATTTGTTATGCATTGTATGAATGTTGCCTCAGGGTTTTGGTAGTTTTTCTTATTTTGTTTACGCAGAAAATGCTACAAAAATGGGAACAGGAAGTCATGCTTACCAGACAGGAGCCTGATAAACACATTTAAAGGTGCAATATGTATGAATGAAGTAAGAGTTCTACAGAGAAATAATCCAAAATCACAATCATGTTAGAAGGAGGGTTGTACTTAAACATTTCATTCTCAGCAGGCTGCGGGGGTTGTCAGTTTTTCTCCTTCAAAATAAAGGAAGGAGGGACGTAGCTACTGTTTACCATCAGTGAGTGTGGGGTTGCCATGTCTCCTGCGAGCTATCGCTGCAGTGCCGGTGTTTGTAATTAAATCGTGGCCGGCAAAAAGCTCCAGAGGTTTTTAAAGAACCGAAGCCAGCAAGAGCGACCCAAAAGTTATTTCTGCTAACAGTGAATTAGATGCAAATAGTTGGCTCTAACAAATATCTCAAGTTGCATTTTCAAATACCAACAACTTGATATTACAGTGAAATATATGTGTGAAGTGAATAATGAGTCAAATGTGGCATCGTACTTCCTTAAACACGTCATTCAGAGCATTAACAGCAGGCGAACAGCAACGCAACAACACTTCCTCTTTGGCGGAGGCATATTACTGTATCAATTGTAGTAAGTGCTCCCTACTGAAAAACAGCCAAGGGTGCTAGCACCAGCAATGACAATTTATCTACTTGTCAACTTACTGTGTCTGACTTGTCATTGCTTGTTATCTGGAATCTTCTGGTGTTGATAGGTAACTGGCAACAGCCATGAAATTCACGAAACAGGAGTTAGAGAGAGAACAGTAAGCAAATTTGACTGCAGGATGCTATTTTACTTTATTTCTACATAATGCACCTTTAAGTGAAGACACCAGCGACTACACCCAGAAGTTGCAGATCAAATGGTGACCACTGGGGGCAGCAGGCATGCTTAAAGCTGCTAAACTTGCAGAAATACAACTACAGAATGTGTCTGAAATCGAACCGTATCAAACTCTAAATCTAATAATGCTGGTTGACAGGATACTTCTGCAGAAACCACACTCGCCATTAAATGGAGATAAAATTAAGATAAACCATTACTTCTTAGGCCCTACTTCAAATGTAGGAGTATCTAACACAATTCTAAACAAGAACTAAAGGCTGAGAAGTTTTTAAATTTGACCTTCCTCGCATCTTAGCATGTCCCTACACCAAGTACCATCAGCTGTGACTGGGATGCATTGTAAAGATTTGCTGGTTTGGCAGATGAATAAGTTCGGTTTTGTCCAAAATCACTGCTAAACTACTTTCTCCCATGTGTACAGGCAGTAGATTAAGCTGAGGTAAAGTGAAGTGCTATTTTTGTTTAAATCAGAAGTTTAAAATGTTAAAATTTACAATAGAACACAACTACATTTGGCACTTAACAACATACTCAGTAAATGAGTCATGACCCCAAAAACAAACAAAAAAAGTCTTCCTCATCGACTTATTGCACAGGCATTTCATATCACAAAAGGTACATGTAAAGTCACATCGATTACACTAATCTTGCAGCTACTACACGATAAGAAAGGCAGACAGCCACACTTTTACAAAGCGTTGAACCGAGTCGGTCCACAAATCAGAAAAAGCTGCGTAAGCAATAAATGGATATATCTGTAGATCTTTTTCTCAAATATACTCTTAAATAGGAGATTTTACAGGAAAGGAGAGAAATGAAAATGGTTACCGGTACATTCATGACAAACATTTCATCCATCGAGGGAAAAAGTGTGGGAGGATTTGATGAGGAGTCTTATAGATCGTGGCCGAGTCGCTCAATTTCCTCGATAAGGAAGTCGATGTCCTCAAAGGTAGCAGCGGGGTTTGAGATCACCATGCGGAAGAAGTTGACCTTGTCTCCTTGAGGCTGGTAGCTCACCATGGTCGTTCCATACTCCATCATCCTAGCTTTTATCACTGGAGCCACCTGACAACATACATTTTAGATTAGGTATGGGAAATAATCTGAGAAATTACTTCATAATCCTGTTCCATTTAAAGTTTTGTTTCTATTCACTTGGGTTAGCATTGAGCTGAAATTGTGCAATTTAAATAAAGTCGATTGGTTGGCTTTCTATTGTGAACGTCTGTTATTTTTCTAGTATTCATAATCAGGTGTGCTGCTCTCAGAGGTGAAGCTTGCCAATAGGCAGGGCAGGCAATTGCGTGGAGACCCCAGAGGGCCAACAAACTTTGAACGTAGTGAGAACCACAACAGTAGAGAGACAGTCATCACTGTTGGTCGTCTCACACTCTGACAAGCCCCTCTCCCTCCCTCCTGATTGCCCAGCCAGAGACCGGCTGCGGACTTCCTCATCTGCCCAAGCCCACCCCTGCTCTGATGAAGAAACGGCTGTGTGCTTCATTGTTTGCATCAGACAACCTTGTAGCACCACTGGCTGCTTTGACTTGAGTAACATTTTAAAGGTGTGGAACACTGAGAAAAAAAATTAATGATTATTTCTGATTACAATCGGTCACTCAGAGTTTTTCATGCAGGCTGAACATGAAAATAGTCTCCTACACCTATCTCCTGCATTAGCTTCTGACAGAAAATAGACGGTGAAACTCTAGGATTAGAAAATCCTGACAGATCTACGTCACGCTGTCATTTAACATTCATGGACTCACCCATCTTGACTCACGATAGGGAAGGCTGTTGTTGGTTTAGAATCCAGGAAATAGCAGAGAACGTCTCTATGAGTAGAAGCTAACCGTTAGCATTAGCAACTTCACCACACGGCAGAAGCTTGTGTTATTTGTGGAGATTAAACATCAACTTTGCAAAGCAAACAGAGTCGGTGGTGCTTTTCTTCTACTGTTAGACTTTTCTTTGTTTAAATAAAGTCAAAGCGTCTTGTGTTTATTCCGTTTTTGATCTGCTAGTTTCCGCCGTTAACGATGACCAGGCCCGCCTCAGAACGCTTGGTTTGTTGTCCGAATGGTTCATTATCACTCATCAGTCTGACACTTCAGCCCAACTCCAGCAGGGCACACAGGACTGCTATTTCTGCCTGCTGACAGGTTGTTTGGAGCAGTGAAGCTGTGACAATCCTTTATTCTGGTCTGGAGTTGTGATGAGGGCTGGCAGATTTAATTCCAACTTCAGCTCGTTTTGATAAACTGTGACCTCGACGGCACCCTAGTGAGGGGAAAAATAATCGTGGGTGACTGGAATAATATTTAAAGGCTGCTGCAGGAGGTTTATTTTTTTGCGGTATGTCTTTTTTCAAAAAGAGTACTTACATTGCTATAATATGACCTAGCTTCATGGCATGCACATTGATTAACTAGTGCTCCTTTAGGTTAGGCCAAAGTTGAAAAACTGAACTTCTTTTTCAAAGCAAAAGTCATGTGGAACACAAATCTGTCTATTAAAAACAGTCCGTGCAAATAATCCACCATTCCTTCTAAACCTTTTGCAGATGTTTTGTCACAGTTGGCAAAGCAGACTAAAAATAATCAACTCTTTTCTGTTTTCCTTCAGGCTTTTGACCATTTTCCAGTTTTTCTGAAGAAGTCATTAAGTGGTAACTAAGAAAAGGGCCTTCAGTTCAACCATTCACTGTGACGTCATCCCAAAATCTGCAGAAAAGGTTGATGAAACGGTCGGTGACGCACGGTCTCGGTTCAGTTTCAGCTTAGAAAAAGAAAGGAAACACCTGCAGAGGTATGGCTAAAATTTATGGAGGTTTTCTTTAAATATCATTTTAAAGTTTAAGGCATCCCTAATTGGGATGACGTGATGCTGGTTTTGGATGTCAGCAAGGGCTTTGTTTGGCAGGTGAAAGGTGTACTCAGCAGATTACCGCAGTCCAGTCTGTCGCTTATCTCGGCCCACCCACCTTGTGCAAACGTTTCTTTTGCTCCTCTTTGTCCTCCATGTAGCGAATCCCAGGGGGGAGGTACCAGAAACAGACGTTGGTGTGCTGAGGCTGAGGGAACACACAAACAAGAGACAAGGGGAATTAAAGCTGCAAGCAGCGTCGTTCGGCCCTCGCAGCTCCGCGCCGCTCCGGTCTGCCGTCGCACCAGTGCACGTCTGACAGAACAGAAACGTCAACCACCCCGACACCAGAAACCGCGAATGGCCTCCTAGTCTGCACCTCACCCTGACTCAGCATCCCCTCTGAGCTCACCATTAAATTGAATATTAAGATTACGGCGTTACGCCAGAATTCGCCATGGCATCAAAGCCCCTCCCTTTCTGGAAAGCTATCAGATCTGAATGGTCATTACAGCATCATGAAGACAGTGCATGACCTTAGGGTCATGTTGACTAAATTAGAGGGGACAAATATGGGCATTTCAGCATAAAAAATAAATTCCTGTAGTCAGGGGGCGGGGCTTAGGTGATGTCAGCTGTCCACATTGTCATTGTTTACAGATATGGTCAATGATCACACAGACAAAGTTCGAAAAAGATCTGATCATGCACATGGGAGTTATTAAGTCAAGTAAAGTAATGGCGAAAGGTCAACGTTTGAGGCTTAGCCACGCCCACACCTTTCAACTTTTGAAAAATCCGACGGTTGAATTTTTTCCCCTATGTCTTAAGAGTGTATTGCAGAAGTTTGAAGGTGATTGGTGAAAAGGGCGACGGAGCATCACTCTCCAAACAATGTGTGCGAAAACCACTAAATCACGTACTTGCACCAAAATGGCCGACTTCCTGTGCGACTTTACGCTTGGCTCCAAGAGACTTTTTTGTAGGTCCTGAGACCCCACATTAGTGTACCAAATTTCGTAATCCTCAGTCAAAGCATGGCTTGGGGCTGAAAGTTTTAATGGCTCTAGGGGGCGCTATTTAAGAATATAGGCCACGCCCACAAACTTCAGCTGTCTATTTCTCTTGGAGCTCAGACTAGGATCACTCACCAGAAGTTTCGTAGCAATATCACGATAACTGAAGAAATGAGACAAACGTATTTCCATGGCGTGATGGCGATTTTCGCCATGGTCCCAAAGCCCCGCCTTTTTTCAAAACCTGCCAGTACTGGAGACCAAGTAACCTCAACTTGTCTACTGCTGTTTGCCACAGAATCCTGGTGATTGGGTAAAAGGAGTCCAGTAGGGAGCTGTGAAAAAAAGAGTAGCGTGGCGACAGGTCAAAGTTTGAGGCTTAGCCACGCCCACACCTTTCAACTTTTGAAAAATCCGACGGTTAAATTTTTTCCCCTATGTCTTAAGGGTATATAGCAGAAGTTTGAAGGAGATTGGTGAAAAGGGCGACGGAGCATCACTCTCCAAACAACGTGTGCGAAAACCACTAAATCGCGTACTTGATCCAAAATGGCCGACTTCCTGTGCGACTTTGAACTTGACTCCAAGAGACTTTTTTGTAGGTCCTGAGACACCACATTAGTGTACCAAATTTCGTAATCCTCAGTCAAAGCATGGCTTGGGGCTAATAGTTTAAATGGTCCTAGGGGGCGCTATTTCAAAACATAGGCCACGCCCACAAAATTCAGCTGTCTATTTCTCTTGGAGCTCAGACTAGGATCACTCACCAGAAGTTTCGTAGCAATATCACGATAACTGAAGAAATGAGAGACAAACGTATTTCCATGGCGTGATGGCGATTTTCGCCATGGTCCCAAAGCCCCGCCTTTTTTCAAAACCTGCCAGTACTGGAGACCAAGTAACCTCAACTTGTCTACTGCTGTTTGCCACAGAATCCTGGTGATTGGGTAAAAGGAGTCCAGTAGGGAGCTGTGAAAAAAAGAGTAGCGTGGCGACAGGTCAAAGTTTGAGGCTTAGCCACGCCCACACCTTTCAACTTTTGAAAAATCCGACGGTTGAATTTTTTCCCCTATGTCTTAAGGGTATATAGCAGAAGTTTGAAGGAGATTGGTGAAAAGGGCGACGGAGCATCACTCTCCAAACAACGTGTGCGAAAACCACTAAATCGCGTACTTGATCCAAAATGGCCGACTTCCTGTGCGACTTTGAACTTGACTCCAAGAGACTTTTTTGTAGGTCCTGAGACACCACATTAGTGTACCAAATTTCGTAATCCTCAGTCAAAGCATGGCTTGGGGCTAATAGTTTTAATGGTCCTAGGGGGCGCTATTTCAGAAAATAGGCCACGCCCACCAGATGTTCACATCAGATCTTTTGGGGGGCCGGACTAGGATCACTCACAAGAAGTTTCGTGACGATATCTTTGGAAATGACGAAATGGGAGGCAAACGTAAGGCCAAGGCGGTACGCCTGAATTCGCCGCGCCACCACAGCCCCGCCCTCTGCCGAAAACTCCCATAAAGTGACGCCAAGCAACCCCCACTTGTCTTGAGTTACCAGCTACAAATTTGTGGTGATTAAGTGAAATGGGGCAATTTGGGACCTTTCACAGTAAAACTTGATCTTTTTGGTCCTGAGGGGGCGGGGCTTGTGTGATGTCATCATCCGACCTTTCAATTTACTTTGTGGGTGGATGACGAATGACCACAGAAAGTTTGGTAACTCTATTCCATTCAGTTATGAAGTTATAGCAATTTAAATATTTTTGGCGAGTAGTCAAACTTCGAGGCCTGGCTCCGCCCCTTCAACATATACGAAAACTCAGAATCCTTATCTCATTTTGTTCGCCCATCCCTTCTGAGCAATTTTACACAATTTTTGAGACGATCGTGCGAAAAATGATCGAGCAATCCAATCAGAAACGGACCCTAAAAACGGCAAAAACGGCAAAAAATCGCCATTTCAACCCAAAATGGCCGACTTCCTGTTTGATATTGACCTTGGTTGCAAGAGACTTTTCTGTGCGGACTGTTGAGTACTACAAGTGTACCAAATTTCATAACTGTACGATAAACTAAGCTTTATGGAGAGGGGTTTTTTTCACTTTGTAGGGGGCGCTGTTCAGCCATTTTCTTTGCGATTTTTTTGGGACCTTTAAAATATCAAATTTTTCACCAGGCCTGACAAGTGTGCAAAATATTGTGAGTTTTGGGGTATGTTAAGGTCCCCAAAAAGCTGTTCAAAGGGGGCACGGAATAACAAAAAATAATTAAAGCTGCAAGCAGCGTCGTTCGGCCCTCGCAGCTCCGCGCCGCTCCGGCCTGGCTGGCAGCCCGGGGCACCAGGGCATGTCTTGCAGAACAGAAACGTCAACCACCCCGACACCAGAAACCGCAAATGGCCTCCTAGTCCGCACCTCACCCTGACTTAGCATCCCCTCTGAGCTCACCATTAAATTGAATTGTAAGGTTTCGGCGTTACGCCAGAACTCGCCATGGCATCAAAGCCCCTCCCTTTCTGGATAGCTATCAGATCTGAATGGTCATTACAGCATCATGAAGACAGTGCATGACCTTAGGGTCATGTTGACTAAATTAGAGGGGACAAGTATGGGCATTTCAGCATAAAAAATAAATTCCTGTAGTCAGGGGGCGGGGCTTAGGTGATGTCAGCTGTCCACATTGTCATTGTTTACAGATATGGTCAATGATCACACAGACAAAGTTCGAAAAAGATCTGATCATGCACATGGGAGTTATTAAGTCAAGTAAAGTAATGGCGAAAGGTCAACGTTTGAGGCTTAGCCACGCCCACACCTTTCAACTTTTGAAAAATCCGACGGTTGAATTTTTTCCCCTACGTCTTAAGAGTGTATTGCAGAAGTTTGAAGGTGATTGGTGAAAAGGGCGACGGAGCATCACTCTCCAAACAATGTGTGCGAAAACCACTAAATCACGTACTTGCACCAAAATGGCCGACTTCCTGTGCGACTTTACGCTTGGCTCCAAGAGACTTTTTTGTAGGTCCTGAGACCCCACATTAGTGTACCAAATTTCGTAATCCTCAGTCAAAGCATGGCTTGGGGCTGACAGTTTTAATGGCTCTAGGGGGCGCTATTTAAGAATATAGGCCATGCCCACAAACTTCAGCTGTCTATTTCTCTTGGAGCTCAGACTAGGATCACTCACCAGAAGTTTCGTAGCAATATCACGATAACTGAAGAAATGAGAGACAAACGTATTTCCATGGCGTGATGGCGATTTTCGCCATGGTCCCAAAGCCCCGCCTTTTTTCAAAACCTGCCAGTACTGGAGACCAAGTAACCTCAACTTGTCTACTGCTGTTTGCCACAGAATCCTGGTGATTGGGTAAAAGGAGTCCAGTAGGGAGCTGTGAAAAAAAGAGTAGCGTGGCGACAGGTCAAAGTTTGAGGCTTAGCCACGCCCACACCTTTCAACTTTTGAAAAATCCGACGGTTGAATTTTTTCCCCTATGTCTTAAGGGTATATAGCAGAAGTTTGAAGGAGATTGGTGAAAAGGGCGACGGAGCATCACTCTCCAAACAACGTGTGCGAAAACCACTAAATCGCGTACTTGATCCAAAATGGCCGACTTCCTGTGCGACTTTGAACTTGACTCCAAGAGACTTTTTTGTAGGTCCTGAGACACCACATTAGTGTACCAAATTTCGTAATCCTCAGTCAAAGCATGGCTTGGGGCTAATAGTTTAAATGGTCCTAGGGGGCGCTATTTCAAAACATAGGCCACGCCCACAAAATTCAGCTGTCTATTTCTCTTGGAGCTCAGACTAGGATCACTCACCAGAAGTTTCGTAGCAATATCACGATAACTGAAGAAATGAGAGACAAACGTATTTCCATGGCGTGATGGCGATTTTCGCCATGGTCCCAAAGCCCCGCCTTTTTTCAAAACCTGCCAGTACTGGAGACCAAGTAACCTCAACTTGTCTACTGCTGTTTGCCACAGAATCCTGGTGATTGGGTAAAAGGAGTCCAGTAGGGAGCTGTGAAAAAAAGAGTAGCGTGGCGACAGGTCAAAGTTTGAGGCTTAGCCACGCCCACACCTTTCAACTTTTGAAAAATCCGACGGTTGAATTTTTTCCCCTATGTCTTAAGGGTATATAGCAGAAGTTTGAAGGAGATTGGTGAAAAGGGCGACGGAGCATCACTCT